AATATAACTCTCATTGCCCTGTTCTGCGCTCTTTGCAGAATGCTAAGCTGTGTCTCTCCCATATTTATTATAAGAGTGGCACAGTACTCAAAATGAGGTGCTATAATTGACTTATATATAGTACATCTCGCATATACAGTTAGTGAGTTACCTATCCTATTCAGAAAACTTACTTTTTTACCTATTTTCTTAATTATATAATCACAATGTTCACTAAATCTTAATCTATCGTCAATAATGACGCCTAAATACTTCATTGTTTCTACTCTCTCAATTATTGTTCCATCAGCGCATTTCAAAACAATGTCACCTTTTTGTTCCTTCCTTACACTTCTAACTATCATGTATTTAGTCTTATCGGTATTCATTTTTAATTTATTCATATTCATCCATTTTTCCAATGTACGGAACGCCCTATTCATTTTATATTGTAATTCTTCACTACCAGTACCATTCACATAAAGTAACGCATCATCCGCAAACAGCTTTATATTACATTCGTCCGGACATGCCTTTGTGATATCGTTTATATACAGTATAAATAACAATGGGCCCAGCACCGAACCCTGCGGCACGCCATACTCTGTGTTTAACATACCTGACCATTTGTTATCAAAGTGAACTTGCTGAAATCTACTGCTTAAATACGATCGAAACCATTCAAGAGCCCTATCTCTGATTCCATATTGATACATTTTCACTAGCAACCTTACCCTATCTATTGTTTCAAAGGCTCGCTTCAGATCCATAAATACGACTCCAATCATTTTATTTTCACTGATTGTAATCTTCCAGTCATCTACCACTGCTTGAATTGCTGTTTTACATGAATATCCTTTTCTAAGTTCCGATTGGTGTTCCGTTATAATATTGTTATTCTCCAAATATTTGTCCAATTGTTTTTTAACTACTAGTTCCAAAACTTTTTCAAATGTTGGGAGCATATTGATGGGTCTGAATTGACTCGCCTTTTTCGGCTGATCTATTTTAGGGATAGGTTTTATCGTGGATGTTTTCCAGACCTTAGGGCATATTCCTTTACTCAGGGAACTGTTGATTATGTCCACAAATTCACTGTTTATCACTTGCCATGCGGTCTTCATGATGTCGGTACTTATACTATCATCCGTGCCTTTCTTTCTTGGTAGCTGCCGGATGATTTTTTCAACCTCTAGTATGGATACTGCGTCAAACTGGTGTAGGGTTATCCTCGTTTCATAGTCCTTGATAGTAATTTCTTTTGGGCTGTCTGGTATTTTTGTTATAGATTTTACTATATTGTCAATACTTTGTATATAGAATTGGTTAAATTTATCAGCTGTATTCCTTTCTTCGGTGTTGCTGAGGCATTCAAAATTTATATCTTCTGTTTCTTTCATGCTGTTTGCCTCTCCTCTTATTATCTCTTTCAGGGTCTTCCACATTGCTGTAGGATTTCCCTTATTGCAATCAATTGTTTCTTCGTAGTATTTTTTCTTCGTTTTTCTGATCATGCTCACTACCCTGTTTCTTTCTTCTTTGTAATGTAACCAGTTCAGTTCCGTATTATCTTGTATTGCTTTTTTGTATGCTTCATCTCTTCTAGCTGCAGCTTTCCTTATTTCAGTATTAAACCATCTTTTTTCTTCCCATATTTTCGGGATTTTAACTTGTCTTTTTGGAGCTACTACATCTAATGTTTGTACTATGCTGTCAACTAGATTTTTTGCTCTGTCGTTTACGTTCATATTATTATTTTGTTGCAATTCATTTTGTAGTATTTCAATAAACTGGTCGACATCAAAATCGTTATAGTTTCTGGCTATGTATTTTCTGTCCTTGTAGTTCTTCTGCCTTTATGTTCAATTTTTAAGCATGCATGATCCGTTATCATAGGCTCATGCAGCACACTTACCTCTACTTCTTTATTAGCGAAAATTAGGTCTATGATTGATCTACTATCTCGTGCAATCCTTGTCGGTTCCTTGACATATTGCTTCATTCCCATGCTATTCATTGTTGTTTTTAGCCTCTTTTTATAATAGGAATTTATCGTGAAGTCTATATTAAAGTCACCGATTACTATACATTCGCTTTTTGTTATTAGATCCTCAACAACGTCTATTAGAAAATTTATGAAGTCCGTGTCTGATGCGCTCGGTGAGTGGTACACTACCATAACTGTACTTTTACACCACTTTTCCTTCACTTTAATCGCGATGGTCCAGCAGTTCGGTTCTAATTTCCGCGTCAGTATAGTCTCGTACCTAACGTCATTTCTCACGTATATCACAACACCACCCGTGTACCTGCTATCACTATTGCACCTCACCAAGTTATAACCCGGTACACTTATTTCAGCGTCGTCTATTTCCTGAGTTAGTCTGGTCTCCGTCAAGGCCACAATCGCAGGATTTCTCGTCACCATGATGAGATGGTGTATTTCTTCCTTGTGGGCCAGCAAACTTTGTGCGTTAGCATATATCGTGCACTCCGATCTTCCCTGCATACCTGCTACCATCTTCTGTAGTTGCTACTCATCCTTGCTCGTGTCCGTTCTCCTTCTTTCTTCCCGTAATGCCCTTTGATATGTTGGGCATTCTGTACTAAGTGCATCATGCTCCGCATTTATCTTGATATTATACTTTTGCATTTTTTCTATACAGTTAACACACTTTTTGGTTCGCTCTACACACTCATTTGATGTATGGTTTCCCGCACATCTATGACACGTCACCGTCTTTGTGCAGTTCTTCGCAATGTGGTAGAAGCCCCAACATTTGAAGCATCTTTTTACGCTGAAGTGCTCATAAACTGGGCATTTCCTCCATCCTATGTTCAATCTTTTTTCTCTCATTATTGCATCTTGCGTGTTAATATCTACTTCCACTATTATGCTTCCCTCGTCCTTTGGTGTTCTGGTTGCTCCTCTTTCGCTCATCTTTCTTATTCTTTTCAATATTCTCATGTGAAAACCCTCATTGCCAGTGTCCAGTCCGTTTTGTTTCCTTATAGATTCCATTAGTTCATTGTCTTTCATCTCAAATTCATCCTTTCCTATATTCGCAATCTTCATCTTCGGTTTACTGGGTGTTGGTTGTGTAACATTATAGTTGTCTCCCAGGTTTTTGGTGACAGTCTCTTTCAGCGACCGGATATCTCTATCCTTATCACATCCTAGGATAATCATGCCGTTGTTACCCTTTCTAATCTTCGAAATTCTCATATTCATATTCCTGATGTTAACTTTCTCTTTGATGGCTTTTTCAGTCACTTCACTCTTTTGCTGAGTCTTCGGTTTAATTACTATTATACTCTCTTGTTTGTTTTCTTTCGTCACTTGGCTGTAGCTTCTCTTATCTTTATTATTTGTATTTGTATCCGCTCTTAATATCTTCTTAATTTCCTTGTATTTTTTCTCTCCTTTCCCTCGTAGTTCCTGTACTTCTTTATTCAATTTTTCATTTTCTTGTTTACATTTTTTGACCTCCTTGCACAGTTCCTCCATTCTCTCTTTATTCTCTTTATTCAATTTTTCATTTTCTTGTTTACAATTTTTAACCTCCTTGCATAATTCCTCCATTCTCTCAACCATATATTTTTGGTGCTCCTTCTGGTTCTCTTCCATCCTTGTCACCAAATTTATCAAGAGTTCTATCCTTTCGTCCTTCTTCTCTTTTGTCTCTTCCACCTCTCCTTCCATCGATTCTTGTACCTTTTCATTCATTTCTGTTACTTCCTTTCTTTTGGATTTCACCGGTTTTTTATCCAGATTTATTCTATCTCCTTTTTTACTTACGTCTGTTAGTACTAACATTTCATAGGGGCCTTCACAAGGAATAAATTTTCTTCTTTTGTTATAACTATGATGCTTGATAACACAGCCCGGATGTAATGATTTCTTACATTTTACACATCGCCTAACCACAGTTTTTATTTCTTTTTTGCATGTATCACATCTATATTCAACGTTGCCTATGCTCGACCGACAAACCGAAGTCATTTAGTGAGCAACGCTATTGGCCCGTTCCGTCCGACCCGCCACGTCTCACCAATTGTCAGCCGAGCTCGTCATAGACCAATGGTCGATCGATCCTCAATACGCTTATTTCACTATGCAGGATCGATCCCTCGATCGACTAACCGCGCGCGCGTCTACCTTCTCGATATTCTTACACCACGTCTCTCAGGTTATGTTAGCGTTGTGCTAGAAAAATGTTTATACTGTCCATAACTCTTTATAACCTGTTTGGATAACACACACACTTGTACCGCTTACACATCCGCACATTTATAATAAACTATTATCTATCTCACTCAGATCCCACCTCCCCGTGACGCCCACCTTTGCAGAGCTTAGTTGAGCACGTCCACACACAGAGAGAAAGAGAGAGAGAAAGAAAGAGAGAGAGAAAGAGAGAGAGAGAGAGAGAGCCCTTCCGGGGGTGCGCCACCTTGTCGTGGTGGAGGGGCTTGAGTGCCGTGCTGATCCGTGGAGCTATGTCGGCGGGAACTTCGGTTCCTGGCAGGGTCACCCTTGCCGGACAGGTCCACGGGGAGCGGCCAGACCAAGAGCGCACCCGGGCAGGCCGGGCTCGTTAGCTCTGTGTGGGCAGCCGGCCTAGAAGAAGGAAAACTCCAAAAATAAACCACTTTTCTAACAATTATGGGTATGAGCTCAGAAGAAGAGATAGACGTACCGGCCCAGAGTGATCGGACACTCAGGGCCCGGCGTGGGGGTGTTGCCGTCCCAGGCACCCCCATGTCGTTATCCCGTGATGGGCTACCCTCCGCCTGCACCACAGGGGTGGGGGGAGAAACCTCGACTGCGAAGAAGCAACCCGACGTTCTTGCGCTTGGCGCGCGAAGAATGTTTGGAGCACCGGTCTCCTCCACTAGAGTTAGCGCTGGTGGCGCTTTTCCTGGCGGAGACAGGAAGAAGAAGCCGGCGAAGGAGCGTTCTCGCTCCCCGCCACTCGCCGGCTTGTCCGGGTCCCCGCCACTATCCGGGGATTCCGACATAGAGGTGCTGGAGGACGCCTCCACACCGGCCCCCAGTACAAGTGGGAGCGTAAGAAGATTGCCGACCGCCACCGAGTTTCTCGGTATCGTCGAAGAGCGTGCTTCGGCTGCAAGGCGAGCGGAGGCGGTTTTGGAGCTGGAGGACGAATGCTGGCGCGACACCGTCCAGCTACCGTCCTCCAGACTCCCGTGTGCGATTGCCTCCGCGGCGGAGATGGTGCAGAAGACGCACACAGCCGCGGAGGCCGTGATGAAAATTGTCACCACGTCCAAGAATCTTGCCGGTAGGTACGTGAAGATTCTGAAGAACGTGGCGGCAACCATAAAAGGATTAGGCAGGGGCATTGTTGCCCTTGCATATCTGCCGGAGGAGGCAGCGAGGCCGGAGCTGGCCAGGTCTGCCGCGCTCGTGGATGAGCGCGTCAGGACGCTGGAAGAAAAGCTCCGGCTCAGCAAGAAAGCGGGGAGGATCATGGCCTCCCGAAATAAGAAGATGCGGAGATGCTCGACGCGGCCTTCGAAAAGGGATTTTCCCTTGAAGGCGCGTCGAGGAAGGAGGTAGCGGACTGCGGGACGCAGGCCGGTGGGTCTGTGTTTGTCCCGCAGCCGCCGCGGCGCTGACCACGCCGCCGCGGACGGACTCCCGGGGGGTACAGACGGAGGGGGGGCGGATGAGCCTCTTAGAGAAGATGCCCCTCTGGACCTCCCGGAGGAGAGGTGTGTCCGCCTATTGGCGGACAAAATCGGGGATGCAATGGAGGGGCGAATCCTCTCTCTTATAAGGAAAGAGCTCGCCTCTCAGTCCTCGGGTGCGCCTGCCGCCGTACCCGCCCCGATCACTTGGGCGGCGGTGGTAGGCCGCAAGGCGCGGAGGAAGGGGAAAGAACACTCCCTTTCTGAGGAAAAGCGTCGCCCTCCCGCGGTCCCCGTAGGCACGAATCAGCGCTCCGGGGGGGGGGGGGCGGAGAAGGCTAAACTCGGCAGGCTCCCTACGGGGGCTGCCGTCCTTCTTACCGTGGGGGAAGGCGGCAGTTATGCTGACGTTATGAGGAAGGCGGCGGCCGCCGTCGATTTGAAGGAGGTCGGGATTTCCGGCCTCCGGATAAAGAGGGCGGCCAACGGTGGCATGCTCCTCCAGGTACCCGGGCCTGGAGAAGCGGAGAAGGCCGACGCCCTCGTTGAGAGGGCGTCCAAATCGCTTGAGAGCGTAGAGGGGGTGAAATTCACCCGTCCCGTGAAGCACGCGGAAGTCCGCGTGCGGGACGTGGTGCCCCCCTTCTCCGCGGAGGATATTGCCACCGCATTAGCGGCGGCAGGTGGATGCCAGCTCAGTGAGGTTCGCACTGGGCTGGTTCGCTCCTCTCCCGTCGGGTACGGGACCTTATGGGCCCGTATGCTCTTGAAGGCAGCCCGGCGGGTAGTAGGAGCGAAAAAAATAAAGGTGGGGTGGTTTAGCCTTCCCGTTGAGGCGCTGGTAGCACGGCGTATGCAGTGCTGTCGGTGTCTCGAGTACGGGCACGTGGCACGCAAATGCTTCGGTGTTGACCGGAGCACGGCGTGCTACCGTTGCGGGGGAGATGGCCACCTTGCCATCACATGTAGGGTTGCCCCCAAGTGCACTTTGTGTGCGAGCCGGGGGTAGCCAGCGAACCACCGGATGGGCGGCGCCAGTTGCGCCCCCATACCGGCAAAGAAAATAGCCACCAGGCGGGGCGCCGGAGTTCCGGCGCCTCCGCTGCCACCCGGTGGCAAGAAGGGCGGGGAGGTGGCGGTGCCTGACCTCTCCCCGAAAAAGAGGAGGAAGCGGCGGGCCCGCAGTTTCGGGTCCGGCGAAGACTCCTCCGGTTGGGAGGAAGACGGAGAGAGGGTTTACCTCCTTTCCCCGGAGGAAAGGAAACTTGGCCCGGCTGTGGCCGGAGAAAAGCGAGGCGCGGGAGGATGTTTCTCACTTGCCCGCCTCCTCTGGGAACACAAAGCCCGCCGCAGGTGAAGGAGGGGAGGCCGCTAAGACCTCCTCCCCAAGCAAGGAGCCCTCCGGTCTCCGGAAAGAGCCGGAGACTGGGGAGAAGGGGAGTGGGGACGACGCGGTGCCCCCCCTCTCCCCAAAAGAAAGGTGGCCGGGACCAGAGACCGCAAGGTCGCTGGCCCCTGGACAACAAAAGGTGCGGCGCAGAAAGCGCCGGGTTCAAGGGGAGGCTCCACCAAGGAGCCCTCCCTCAAGCGGCAGAGGAGAGGCAAGTCAGCCTTCCCTTCACCTGGGAGACACAAGCCGGGACCTAAGTCCTCCAAGTCGAGCAAATAAGCTCGACTTGGGGGCAGTTCCCGTGCTCGGGGTGAAGGGGTCACGGCTCGGGCGTGACCCTTGGACCCAGCCCCTGTCAAGGGGCTGCTTGGTCGCGGGAAAGGGACACGAAAAATCGTATTGACCCCTCCTGACTTCGGTCACGGGGGGCGGGGACTTGGTGTGGCAAGTTGGGGAACTTGCCTCGCCATTGCACA